TCCTCCTCTTTACCTCCACGTTCGCGCATATGATTATCGCTGGTATCGAACTCGCTGAAACCGGTGGTAACATTGCCAACTTGCTCTTCTCCCTGTGCCTGATCTTCTGTGGTGTTCTTGCCACACCTTCCCAACTTCCAGGCTTTTGGATCTTCATGTACCGTGTCTCGCCATTTACATACCTGGTATCAGGCATGTTAGCTACCGGTGTGTCCGGCACGACTGCCACCTGCGAAGCTGTCGAATACCTTCACTTCAGCCCTCCTCCTGACACCACCTGCCAGAGCTACATGTCCAACTACATCAGCACCCACGGCGGCTACCTTGAGAATCCGAACGCCACCTCCGACTGTTCCTTCTGCACGATCTCCAGCACAGACACCTATCTGGCCCAAGTGAACAGCTACTTCAGCGATGCATGGCGCAACTTCGGCCTGATGTGGGTCTACATTGTGTTCAACATCTTCGCTGCCGTGTTCATTTACTGGCTCGCTCGTGTGCCCAAGGGCCAGCGGACCAAGGCTTAAAAGTCTAAAATGTTTCGCTTTTTATTCCTTCTTGCTTTCATCTTTTTCTTTTCTTGAACATAAATTCTTGTTCTTGGTTACACTATCATGTACATTGGACATAATGCCTGTAAGATCCTACGTGAGATGGATACTTTGACATGTTTTGCTTAGAAGCGTTTGCTAGATCTCCTCATCTCTTGCTCATGATACACTATCTCACTCATCTCAACCTTTGTCTCCGCTTTTCAGCTTTCCACAACACACAGATGTATGTGGCGTATTGGCCCAAATAATAAATAGAACAACTGAAACCTCGCTCAGACTATTACACTTGCTCATATCCTTTAACACACTCACCGTCATGCTAGTCATTTAACTAGAACCCCTCCCCTCTTTCTCCCTATAGCAGCAAACAATGACCACTCAACCTCATCTGACGACCACCCCTCCCATCAACGTAGTACAAGATACCTTAACCCAACCATCCCCCTTCCACCCCACCTCGCCCCTACCCTGCTGCTATACATAAAAGACCAAAGACACGCGCCATAACTGACTCCCTCACCTCACCTAGCCAGTGCTTCCAACCATGATCATCATGTGATAGAATTATCTACTAGTATAATGTTACACATAGATATCCATGAGACTTTCGAACATGCAGAATATACGTCATCATGTATGATTACTTCTCCATTCTTTTAATTACTTCTTACACGATCATCATGTAAGGTTGAAAGCCGTAATACTATCGTGGTATGACAGATATCTTCGGTGCAGTGTCGGGTATGTGGGAGAGACTATCTGTTCGGTCGTGAGTACTAGTGAGAGAACTTGAAAATATTAAGTGAATTTACTATGCTTAATTGGTGTTAGTTTGGTGGATCTTCCTATTTACTTTAATTTTGGTTCTTTGACTTTGTTGGATTTATTACACCTTACTAGCGATGATCTAGACATGCATAATAATGGGCATGGACTTGGAAAAGGGAATCGACTGGATATAGATATTGCTATATTCGCTTCTGTTTGTGCGGGACCAGAATTAGGTCCTTGTGTAATGATATATGATCAGTTGTGCTTGTGCTAGACAATCTTTCTGAAGGATGGTTGTTGCATGTGGCCAGAGTGCGTGATGAATGTGCTTGGTGGGGGCTCAGATGCAGTCGCAAGGATATTAACACCTAAAAACGATGCCGCTGAAGGTGTGTTGCCTGAAAATTTCAAACAGAGCTAGCTAGGCTTTAAAGCATTTCGTACCATCGTGTAAATACCAACAGAGAACATTTGCCATGGGAAGTCGGACTAATAGAGGGGAAACTAAATGTACATCGGAAGTAAAGGTTTGAACGAAAGTAAAGAAAAGAAATTTTTGGAACAAGAATAGAAGGTTAGTAAAAGGAAAGGAACGAATATATCCCAAGGCAAAGGCAGTGATTTTGTATGGTGTGCTACCATGTAAAGGCTTCTTCGGCGAAATCGACGACAGCGCCCATTCCAATGTTGTTACGGGCAGCCGCACGCACCTCGTCTGCGAATGCACCGGGCCCGCAGACAGAGACTATGGTGGCACCCACACGTTGGGGAAGGGCCTCATTGAGAACCACGTCGGGACGACACCGACCCGGGAACATCTGGACGGTCGCACTGGGTGATACGATCTCACGACTGCTTTTTGGCTTGGACACGAAAAGTTTGATGGTAAGAATCTCGCGCCTCCCTGGAAGTCGAAGGATCTGGTCCATCCACTCCCGTACCCAGGCTAGATGTTCCGTACTACGTACAGACCAGACGAGATAGATCTTCTGGGTAGCCACGCGACCCTCTGAGGAACGTATGAGCAAGTCGCGGACGTATAGCATATGATGGGTAATGCCTGCACCGGCTGAGAAGAGTATAGCTGTGCCATAACTGCCCATGTTGCACGCATGGGACGCATAGGGTCCTTCAATGAGTCCTGAGGTGTAGAGTGTTTGTCCAGGCGAGGCCAGAGCCTTGTTGTACAACTTCCGTGTCATGCCTTGTCGAGCACCAACGATGAGAGAAACGGACGTGGGCTCCTTGGAGTCCCGCATATACTCATCCAAACTAGCAAGTGGCTGTTTTTCGAGAAGCGAAGGGTCGATGAGATCTTTCTCTGTTGTGGCAGGAACGGTCACAGAGCTGCTTGGGTCTACCCAAGCGACAGAAAATGGATGAGACATCCAAAACGAGACGCTCGGAATGTAGGCGTACACATGGCTTCCGGGGCTGATGCGCACACGCTTCGGCAAGTGGAAAGTCACTCTGCAGGCTTCACCAGGGAGGGCTTCGACGACAAGCCGCGTGGACCCTCTTCGGGGAGAGATGTTCAAGTACAGCAGTCGACAGAGGCGGGCTGTTCTTTCCAATAGCCAGAGGAGACCCAGCGCTATGATCCATGGCTTTTGCGGGAGATTGTCGAGATCCAGGTGCATCAACACACCAAGATAGGCCAGAAAAGCGGCGAGCTGGTGCAGATGCAAAAAGGTCTCATAGAAAGCATGCCGAATCGGGGATGGAGAGTGAAGACCCAGTGTGATCATGGAGCAAGTTCCCAGGAGGCCCCAGGTAAAGAAAGGTGTGGTACGTAAGCGTTCGAGCATGTCAGAGAAGCTGACCTCATCGCAAGCATTGACTGCCCATGCGCACGTGTGCACAACACTTTCAAGCACAACTATCCGGCCCAACCAACGATGAAGCAGATTGTAGGTGTCGAAACTCACATGCAACAAGGGAATAAGTGGATTGTTGCGACCGGCGAGGATGAAGAGGGGCACCATGTTCAAAACTGCCAAGGTTCCTGACCGTCCGCGAAGTTCAGCGACTAGAGCTGCCTTGACATTCGCATTGTAATCGAGTAGGGTGCAATAAGCGACCTGACTCGCCAAATACAACACAACTAGAATCACCTGGAATCTAGAAGGCAGTGTACCGACATTGATAGCGGATGAGAGTTGGATTTCTCGATTATGCCTCTTCCTGCCCAGGGGCGCATACAACAGATGCTTCTTGACGTTCGCCCAAAGGGAGGACACCTCAACGCTCCAAAAGGTCTGCTCCCTCCTGCTTGCCGTTAGAGAGGTGATTTGACGAAGATAGGCATGGCTGATCTGTGCGACACGTCCACAAAAGACAACCAGGGCGACGAATATCAAGGACGAAAAGATGATCCGTGAGAACAGCACATCCCGTGGGACATCAACACCGTTCAAGCCACGCGAATATTCATAGACGTAGGTGACATTGATCCCATAGCCTCGCGGGATGAGTCGATGGTGGGATTCATCCATTGATAGAGAGGTCTACGGCCCAGCGTAGCACGCAGTCGCTCAAGATGGAGAGACAGAGCGGACAGATCGGACAGATGTCAACAAAGCTGAGCGGGGGGCGATAAGAGCAGCAAATTCTTGAAAGCCACAATTTCCAATTATAATTCGGTTACGGTCCAGTATGACGCAGATACTGAATGGCTAGGGAACACCAAGAATGTGGGGAGAGGCGCGCTATGCCCAAGGGATCTCAAACGGCAAACCCCCACAGCAAGAGTAGCACGATCAAATTAAAATTGCTCTTGTGTGTGGTTTCGATATACAGACAACTCGAGGTGTCTTCCCTTCAAATAAATGCTCGTTGAAGCTGTCCTGATCAGGCGGAAGAGGTGATGATGTTGGTGAGACGGTATGCGCAAATGACCAAGGCGTTGTCACGAGCAATTGCAGCTAAAGGAGCCGAAGAATGTTGGAAACACGGTACAAGGTAGCGAATCTGACGAGTTGAATCTTGCAAGTCCTCCAACATTGAGTCATTACCAGCGTCATAAGTGCTGAGCCAGCCTTCGATCATCACTTACCTCCACTTCCCTACATGCATGATATAAGAAGAAAAATTCCAGGCAAGAGGACAGGGGACGCACAGCGTCGTAGAAAGAATCAGATAATTCAAACCGGGAAACCAAAAGTTCCCAAAGATAAGGTACTGTAAAAATTTGACGTCTAGTGTTGTAGTAAAGAAAGTAAATTGCCCACCCCCACGATGAATGACGTTTAGATGTAGCGAGATGTAACCAATGATCGACGGTAGCCGAACAAAGAGCGAAGACGGTCCACGCCCAAGAACACGAATGGCAATGTCTTGAAACAATAGACTGAATCGCTGAATGGACTGGCCACACAATGAAAGAACGGCCACCAGCCAGCTGGCTCAGAGAAGTGAATGTGTTGGTGGAAAATAGAAAGAACGAAATAAGGAACGAAGCACAACTTAGAATGTAAAGTTGAAGAAAGATCCCCTGTCACCCGAAGAAGATCCACGGCGCAGCAAGAAACTTTAAGCGAAAAGGAAAGTCCAGCGCGGATCATGCCTGAGATCATGCTGTAGGCCCAAGGGACCAATGACCCAGTCCACAAAACCTGCTAAAAAGCAATAATGGCGTGGTCCTGAAGGGGTGTTGCCATGAGCGCCGCCAAGCCTGGCCTCTGCGCTTGGTCCCGAACCTATCGAGTGGTCTCTACGGAGCAAAGCGCCCTGAAGGAAATGCATCGTTGTTTCTGATAGAGATAGCCAGCCCTTTGGGCTTGGCCGGTGTTTAGCGCTCTTGGCTCTCATCGGCCAACCGCGGAAACGGCCGCTTGCAGGAAGGCCGACCGAGGGCGTCAACGCAGGCCTTGTTTCCAATCCGCACCCTCTTACCACCTTTCAATCCCACCTCATGATGCTCCCCTTAGCCAGCCAATTGTACCAATTTCACCAGATAGCCGCTGCTGAAAATGATGTATTGGCCTTCGATCCAGATTCTGATGTTTCAGGTTCTGCAATTCGGACTGAAACGACCGTCCCGTATTGGCCGTGATTTGCATGCTAAGCTGCATCAACGGCCCACTGGAAATCCACCGACAACACTGCTGAAGGGTTAGCTATCATGAACCTGCAAAGGAGGAGCAAACGGTAGACTGGGTGTTCCTGTCATCTTTGCTTGAACCCATGGTGAAACAAGGCCATCCATGAACCTCAAGTGGGAGGTGGATTAAGAAAGACAAGAGAAGGTGGGTTTGGCGATAAGGAGATTAGTTGCCTAGGGAAGTCACATGGCGGTCACGGGTCTGGTCCCTAGTCTGTCCCTGTTAATCTATTTTGGTGTCAGTCTATTACTCTACCTTTTCTCCCATTGCCTGCCCACCCTTCTGGATCCTGGGTCCCTGGCGGACCTGCTTCATTATTTTCGGAAGAATTTTCCTCAATTTCTATTATCTTGGTGGGGGTCTTGGTAACGGAGGAGACTATTTCCAGCTTTTACAACCCTTCCAGGTGTCAGCGGTTCCCCTTGAATCGGTCATTCCATCCGGAGTTTCAATTAGATAATTCCTTTGTGCTCCGCTGGCGCCTATTATAGAAGGCTAGCAGAGATAACCAGTCTATGGCGATAAACGAGTTTCACTTAATATATCCAGTGCAGCTGCTAGTCTGGTATGACAGACTAAGGCAAAAATGACCTGATAATAGCATCCTTCACATATTGATTACAAAACGCTGAATCTCGCGTGGTGTGAAAGCAGATGTTTTACATCGTTGCTGTATGTTCCTTCTATCACTTTCAGCCAGACCCCTAGCACAGCAAGGGTAAAAGATGCAGAAAAAAAAAAAAAAAAAAAAAAAAAAAACCAGAAAAAAAAAAAAAAAAAAAAAAAAAAAAAAAAAAAAAAAAAAAAAAACAAAAAAAAAAAAAAAAGAAAAAAAAAAAAAAAAAAAAAATAAAAAAAGTCAGGAGAAAAACGGACGAAAAGAGAACAGTGAAATTTGTCGCCACAAGACTTTTCACCGTCCCATCCAACCGCCATCAACGGTGATAATTTCGCCTGAGACATAGCTACTCGCTTGGCTTGCCAAGAACACTATCACGCCCTTGAAGTCCTCTGGCTTGCCCCATCTGCCTGCCGGGATTCTAGCCATGATACCAGCATTGCGGTTGGAATCGTTAATCAGGGCAGTGTTCATATCTGTGGCGATGTATCCAGGAGCAATTGCATTGACGTTGATACCCTTGGCCACCCATTCGTTGGAGAGGGCCTTCGTCAGTTGCGCGACACCTCCCTTTGACGCTGCGTATGCAGGTACCGTGATACCTCCCTGGAAGGTGAGGAGCGATGCGACATTGATGATAGCTCCACGACGACCTGTTGGAAACTCTGACTCATCTCGCGCCAACAAGTATGCACCGAACTCTCGACATAACGTAAATACGGACGTCAAATTGACTTGGATAACCTATGTAAATCAATAGTTAGTATACTAGTCTTCAGCTCCACTTCAGGAGAAGGAGAGGTCCAAAAATAGAGAGGGGTAAATAGGTGGCTGAAATAGGAGTGTCATTCTACACCTACCTCATCCCAATCTTCGTCCGGGAACTTTTCACTGGGGTGTCTCCGTTGAATTCCGGCGCAGTTGAGTAGGATCTCTGGCTTGAGGCCTTGACTGGTCAGAGCTGGAATGACACCCTTGATCGATTCCCGATTCGACAACTCTGCCACGTGGATCCAAGCTTTCTTGCCAATGCGATTGACGATCTCATCGCGAGTCGATGTGTTCGACTCGTCTCTCTACTCGCAGACCGTTAGTTCCAGACAACGTTTCGTCATGGCTCCCCTCTCATTTCCGTGGGCGCCAATGGGGAGGTCGCGGCTGTGCGCACCTGAATCAAGATGATATCGGCACCAGCTTCTGCAAGGGCAAAAGCCATTGCCTGCCCAATGCCCCTAGTTCCTCCTGTCACGATGGCGGTCTTGCCGCTGAGGGAAAATAGCGACGCAACTGCTGCCGACATTGTAATTGTTTCGCGCTTAGACGGTTACTAAGAATAGTTATTGCTGTCAAGTGTCCTTTCGGTTCTCAGAGTATTAAATCGTTGGAGATGTATTTTGCTGTGCAGCTCAGCGAGGGGGAGATTCTTCAGAATTCTCTTGCCACCAAATCAATAATCAATGACACCCAGTCATCCTTACTGTCCTGCTAATAATAAATAGCTGTCCCTGTCCCTCCGCGCGCGGGGCAGCAGCGACTATTTCCTTTTTGGGGTAATTACATTGCCGACAAGCTGCTTCAAACGCCGACGCCCCGCATTCGGCTATTGAACTTTCCTCGGGGATGCTCCGATTTGCGTTTTGTATGGTAACTCGTACAAACTACATCTCAAGGAGTTGGGGGTGCTTTGAGAATGCTGGTCATTCTGGCAAAGGCACGGAATAATCCGGAAAATCATCTTTGCTAATGCAGTATCCCAGCAAAGTGTATGTCGTCATGCATTGAGCATTTCCGTAGTTGTGGGAGCTGTGTGGCCATTTTAGATGGTTGTCTGTGCAAGCATCGTTACCTTGCATCTCAACATCCAATAGGCGGGTCAGTAAAGCAATTTAATCGTTCTCACTGATAGCTCTTAAGGATCTGATAAGCTAGATGGCTGCAGTATTCCAAGGGCTAATGGTCTGGAATTCAGTAGTCCTCGCATATGCGTTATTCAGATATTAGATGAATCCCTCATATGATGGCCTACTGTAGGCTTTCTATATATTCATGTAATCGCCACCGGACTCGAGGCACTGCAGCAGATCTCCAGCGAGATTTTGTGCTAGTCCAACATAATCGACGCTCAAGGCTCTTGATTAATACCGACAGCAGCGTTTGAACTATTTCTAAATACTGAATTAAGCTTAATCCCTTCGTCAAGATCAACAGCTGCCCAGCCTTGTATAGTGGAAGCCTTGGATTGCCGACTCGATGAATACCCGTATGTATGGGCTGAGTAATACCAGACCATTCCTTGGCCGTGGGTCAGGAAAAACGCAATGCTCACAAGTCTACAGCGTTAACAAATCCTTCCCCCCGCTGCCTGGCGCTTCTCGACTGCTGAGTCGATGATCTGGAGTTACGAGGCGGACGATTACTTAGTGCGCAATTTGTACAGACTTGCTGGTGTCTTAAAGAACAGCTGTGTGGGGAAGCCACGAGCGCCCGTCCCAAGCTCGACTTACCCCAACAATCATATAGGAGCTGTTCGGAGTCGAACAACATCCCCGAGCTTTCTTTTACACCACTCCGCCCAGGATTCAACCTTGTTTCTTAGCATCAGGAGGGAAACATTCCCGACCATTCGTTCCCTGTACTTCCCATCTTTGCAAGCAAAAATCGCTGGTGGGAATTTCTCACGCGTCCCGCTCTCAAAAGCCGGTCTGCCAGCACTGCTGGGATGAGATGCCGCATTGACATCCTATCACCTGACGTTGTGAGCTGAAGAGACTAATGTGCTATATGCAGCGATGGAGCAAGACGACCAATCTCCGCAAGTCGACGGGACCCCGACGTCAAGAGCCAAAGCCCGTTCAGATCATCTAATGAAACGCGTGTCACGAGCATGTCTACATTGTAGACAGCGCAAGTCCAAATGCGACCTGTAAGTCCTGACTGCGACAGACTTGCCTTTTCTTTTTTTCCCACGTTATTTTGGTTCACTTTGTCTGCCCGTCGGCGATCTTGGGAGGCTAATTACAACGTAACACAGGGATAGCAGTGGCAGCCCAGGAGTCCCACCATGTCAGCGGTGTATCAGGGATAACCGTGAATGTGTCCTAGGCAGTTCCAATCGAGGGGGGCGGCGAATTCGCAAGAATAAAATAAAAAATTTCACCCCGGACAGCAATTCTTCTGTGCGAAGGGATTCCGTCATTGAGGCACCAAGTCCGTCCAATTCAGAGACTCGTCAAACGGCGTCTAGCTCTTACCCTGGGCCTGTTGTCTTTCTACCACCTGATCCGCCGACCGCAACTTCAATATCTGTTGACGATGAAGACGAAGCTTCTATCGGCGATGTTCCCCGCAATCCTTCTGATGCCTGGCAGTGTCTAACAGGCATTGCAAAGAGAGGTACAGAAGACCCGAGCTCCGAAACGGGCGTCGATCCCCTGCGCACAGGACCCGGTGGATTCTCATCATACACGACGCTTCAAGACAGTTCAGTTACTGGGTTCCAGTCGAATAGTGGCATCAAAGCGTACAGGCTAGTGCAATCACGGTCACTAGATCCGGGAACGGTATGGCAGCTAGTGATTCGCTACGCTGAACACTTTCATCCGTACCTTCCTTTGGTGCCACGAAAATACTTTGATCGCAGCGCACTAGATGCATTTGCTAATAACGAGAAGCATCTGCTTACTGCCGTCCTTACAATTGCTTCGAAGGATCTAGCCGAACGGCCGGAGATCCACGAGTACTGTTCTAAATACATGCATGAGCTGATATCTGGAATTGCTGCTGGAGCTGATTGCGATGTTGAGGCCGTGGAGGCTCTCCTTATTCTGGCTGAATGGGAACCCCAAGGCCTCCGACCGCGCATCGAACGTGTGGGCCGTGGGGAAGAGGATCGAGCTGCCTGGATGCATGTAGGGCTCGCCTTGCGATCTGGTTGGTTCCTTGGCCTAGACAGGACATCATTTAGAGGCGATTCTTCTGGGGACGCGGAGACTGAAGCTCGTAGGCGTCTAGCATGGACGAGCTGCTACGTATCGGACCGATTGATATCTGTCCGTATTGGACGCGCTTTCTGGTCTCGCGGACCGGGCCCAATGACTGGCCTTGTCAGCCAAGACTTTCCGTCCTTGCAACCAGCTAGAGACGGTGACGAGGATTATGCGAAAATATTCCAGGCTACTCTGGATCTTACACAGCTTTACGGAAATGTTCACGATGTGCTCTATTCTGGCATGCGTACGAGCAACCAAATGATGCTCATGGGCGACTATGTCAAGTACGTGGATGATTTTCGCCTTGCAATCTTACGATGGAAGTCCATCTGGGGATCCTTGTCCTGTAAGTCCCAGCCTTGACGAAGTTTGGCCTAAATGACTGACATTTCGCAGGCTCACCGCCAATGAAAGCCACGTTACAGCTGTCCTACGAATACCTGAGGCTATACACGAACGCCTTCGCCTTTCAGGCAGCAATATCTCAATCGCTTGTGTCCAAGATCAGGAATGATGACAAGGCTCAAAGAGATCATCTGCGAGCAACGTTCAACAATGTAGCCTCGATGCAGGATGCTCGATTCATCTATGAATCGGTTGATGCCGCAAAAACATACCTGACCATCCTCGTGGATGTGGTTCACCCGGAGAAGCATCTTCATTTTATGCCGTTGAGGTATTACTTATACGGGATTTATGCCGCCGTATTCCTGTACAAGGTAACTTCCTCTATGTACCAACGATATTTTGGTGAACTAACCGTGCATTCCAGGCACGTTCATTTGGTGTAATGTCTCATTTAGAGGAGCTGAAGGTGCGGGACCTCGTAACGCGGACCACCGAGGTGCTGAGGAGAGCAAGCGCTGGATCTGATGATATAGGATCGCGTTACTCCCGACTCCTAGAGCTCCTCTGGAAACAGAAGCCGATGGCAGCAACTTCACCAGCCGGTACACATCATAGTGGAGATGTCTTGATGCAGAGTAACAGCGCATTATCGCATCATTTATCCGATCAAAGTAGCTACGTGCACTTCAGCCCCGCAAATGATTTTTCGTGGCTGGATCTTGAAGCCGTTGGAGATTATGTCTCTGGAGATCAAATCTCAGGAGCCAACACACTTGCATTGGATACTTTCCAGAACCAGGACATCTTCCAGGCGGGACAGGACCGATCCCAGACATGGCAGGTTCCATGGTCTGGCGACATGAGCAGTAGCCTGCTCTTCTGATTATCATGCCTCGCGAAAGGGAGCGAAACCGAATTACTGCTTTTACCCCCGCCCATTGAAGCATTCCGTGCTTTTCTGTCGACTCTGGTAAGAGACCCCACGGGTGCGGGGCTGTGGGGGGCGCCGGCATGGTGCCGACGTGAGGTTACCCTTCACATCGCTCGCATCAAAGCATGGCCATGAAGGGTGATACTGCTTGTCTGGTATGCCAGTGGTCCAATTACGCTTCTGTTGACCTAGCTAATATGTCTAGGCAGGGATCGCCTGTGGACCGATGACATTGACTACGCGACTGATCGCTGCTCATACGGATGCCATTGGTGAGGGAGAGAAGCCTGTGTTCAAGGTATACGGACAGCTGAGCTGCATGAATCGCTACAATATTTCTAGCTTACATATGCTAGTATTGTGGGGGAAATAGCCATCAATTGTGGCATATACCTCGATTATGGGTGCGACAACTGTTAGCCGGGTGGGCAGCATATGGAGTCCCTCTTAGTTGCCTCACCAAGCACGTGCTGTAAGGCGGACATGGTGCCTTACGCTTAGGCATACCATAAGATGACACCAAAGTTGGGAAGGTCTTTTCTTGCTGGGAGGACTCGCGATCCCGAGGGGTTGTCAATACTTGGAGTTTATATCCACGATTTCTGAGCAATGGCCGGCTTTTGAAGCCAGCTGCTGAGAGAAATACTGGAGGGTGCAGGATTTGACGAGCAGATGCAGTTGCATGCAGCACCACTTCTCAGTTCGCCGCTAAACTCTATTTATCTACTACTTAGCAGCCCTGCTCTCCCAAGCATGGAATGGCATAGTTTGATGCTGATAGTCTTACATGTCGGAGCCCGTGGTGCTGGGAAGAGTCCTTGGGAAAACTTGAAGCGCCATAGTATGCTTAATATTCCAGTGAAGCCGATCCTGGGGCTGCTCAAAGTCTACCAACTATACCAGTCATATCAGCATTCTGCCTGTCAAACGTGGGGAAGGCGGGCATTCTCCGCATCGGGATTTGAGGCCGAGCGTCGATAGCCGACAGCGAACCAGAAAGAGTCATGCCAGTCTCTTCACAGCTAGAAAGGGATACGGAGCTATTTTTTTTTTCATCTCATTGACACTGGCTTGAGGCTTCATGATATATATTAAGACATAACGCCAATGACGAAAACAGATGTCGTCTGCATGTTTGTGCTGATATCAGTTCTCAACTACTTATCAGTTGCCGAAAATATTGACCAGTTGGTGAAGGGGTTGGTTTCGCATGGGACTGATCTATGCAACCCAGATAGGTTTAGCGTCTGCTTTTAGGAGAACATAATTCGATTAGGGAATGCAACGAAACCAAAACTACCAGCACCTCACTTATTAGAGATAAGTCTATAAGAGAATATTACATTCAACGTAGATAGCTTTGAGTTACCAAGAATAAGTATCGCGACACTTGTAACGCCATCGATCGACGAAATTGACATCGAAGCAGACAATGAAGTTCCTGCGGACCGAAAGCTAAAGGGCATTACTGCCGGGCGGTGAGAGCGACACCTACCCCAAGCCGCCTAGTGTTAGGGCTCCGATACCCTAGGCGGGCGCCAAGAGCGAAAAAGCGCACCACAACGAGCGAGCCTCGCGATCTCAAGTTCCAGCGGCCGACGACAGGAAAACGACAAAACTTCTCACCCGACATCGAGGACCACCCGCTCGGCAACCACATCAAGATGGTGAGTGCTATATTCGCGTTTGATGCTATCGGTGGAAAATGGACATGTCAAAAAAGCAAGGGAACAATATCCTGAAAGAAAGAACCGCTGCCCAACCTTTCGTTGTACCGGAATCCCTATCTATCATTTTCGATCCTGCGTTTTGGCCGTTGAAGGAGAAAAAAAAAGACTTCATACCGAACGATTTCCGACCTTCCCCTGCTATGATGAACTTCCGTCCACCGATATGCTATTTTATATGGAATTGTGTGCTTGGAAAGAGGATATGAATGACATGCGAGGGATTGAATGAATGGTCTTGCTGATTGTTGGATTTTGTCGCCATCAGGTCCGTTACGCTGCTCAGGAGATTCCGGCCGCTAAGAGCGCCCGTGCCCGGGGCTCTTACCTGCGTGTCAGCTTCAAGAACACCCGTGAGACCGCTCAGGCCATCAACGGCATGAAGCTGCAGCGCGCCCTTACCTTCCTCAACAACGTCACCGAAAAGGCTGAGGCTGTCCCCATGCGTCGGTACGCTGGCAGCACCGGTCGCTGCGCTCAGGGTGAGTGGATGTGTTTTTCTACGTTGAAGATTTTGGAAAAGAGACGGAAGTGAAAACAACGGATCGACAAATGAACCGACATGGGCAGAATGTTTAGGGATGAAGAGGCTGGATGGATACGTTTTTTTGGAGGATATGGCAAAAATCAAACTTTTTTGGCAAACGAAGACGCTGACCGTCTTCTTTCTTTCTAGGCAAGCAGTGGGGTGTCAGCAAGGCTCGTTGGCCCGTCAAGTCCGCCGAGTTCCTTCTCGACCTCCTGAAGAACGCTGAGGCCAACGCCGACACCAAGGGTCTCGACACCGGCAACCTCGTTGTCAAGCACATCCAGGTCAACCAGGCTCCCAAGGGCCGCCGCCGCACCTACCGTGCTCACGGTCGTGTATGTTGAAGCCGGAATCCGAGACATCCCTCCGTCACGAATCCCCGCAAAACTAACAATTCGATTAGATCAACCCCTACATGACCAACCCCTGCCACATCGAGCTCATCCTTACTGAGGGTGAGGAGACCGTCGCCAAGGGTCCCGCTGTCAAGGAGGTCCGCCTCAGCTCCCGCCAGCGTGGTGCTCAGCTCCGCCGTGCTCTCATTGAGGCATAAGCGGTGTGTGGGTGTCGGGGGAAGTGTGAAGTGGTCAGAAACTGAATGGGAATGCCGGAGTTTGCTGTTGTACGGATCCAATACCTGGTCACGGAAGGAATACAAAAGAAATTATTACTTTTTTGACAAATGGAAAAAATTCGAAACCACCCGGCGAGAATGATGATGGTGATGATGATGGTTTCTCTTATGCTCTATGCAGAGACAACATCTTTCCTTTAGACATTGATCTCGTTTCACCCCCCGGAGATTCGGTTCGACTGGATAATTTTCCTCTGCAGCCCCTGGTCATGAGCTGTGGCGGCTGGTTAAGGAGTCCAGGAAAAATATTCCTTCATTATAGTGGATACTACATGGATGGCGTGCATCGGTACGGCTGGCTTCGGACATTCTCCCTACTTCAGGACACTTTTGCGAGCGTTTAATTCATGATGGGATACGGAATTCATTTTTCTTTCATGAAGTTGTAAAGAAGAAGGATGGGAGTCATCAGCCCTGCCAGTCGAACAGGATCGATCTACCACCGTAGGATGATAAGACTCCGTAGTACTAGTAGAAATTGGCTACTTTGCCAGCCCGTCATAGGTCTGTCTGGTCTCTGACATGACAAGAGTCTCCAGGGCCCTACGCTGTGCTTCTGTAACAGTCAACTGCGCCACAGCTGCTAGACCCTCTGATCTGCAGGCTGCAGCGTGCGAACAGGCATCCTCCAACTCCAACTCCATCTCCCCCGTCAGCAGGTTGCAGATAGGCAGGTCAGAGGGGAGGGAAATCTGGCTCAGCCAAGCGTGGCTGTGTGTGACATCAACCGTCTCAGGCTCCAATCGGCCCTTGCGAACAGACCATCAGCCAAAGCTTTCCCGTGTCGCTGGATTCCTGTCCAATGCGGCCTTCTCCCCCCCGGCGAGGCATTCGCATCCCCATGACGACAGGAAACTATGCTTAACCGACAGTTAAGACCAACCCGCATACGTAGTTGTGTACGGTTGGTTGCGCTGACAGTGCGGGATGTACGCATGGCAGACTCTTGGTAGGTAGTCAAGCAGGCATCAAGATTCGTAGACAGACGTGGGTCAGTGTGTCTGTCAAGTGGGATCAATGTTCTGTTGGCTGTCTACTTAAACTTCCCTACTGTGATTGTGTCAACAGGCGACGCAGTTCTGGATCGTCCCAAGAAACGCAAAGAAGAGCGCTTGCGTGTCGCCGACAAAGCAACATTGCCACCAGATCGGCTGCTTCGAACATTAAACAAAACAAAAGAGGTTTCGGGGCGATGGATAGACTCTTATTCTTGACTAAAACTTAAGTTTAGTTCAAGGACCCTCCGCTGCTTTTGCTCCCCGCGGCGCTTAAACCGGCCCTGCGAGGCTGCGACAACCTTTTTAGTCTCGTTTGCTTGACGGCCCCTTTCTCCTACTTAAATTTTTCGCCAACCCCATTCCTATCGTCTGTGCCTTGCGTTCTATCCAATTTCTACACAGACGTGGTAGGTTGCGATAAGTCATCATGAAGCGCATCTTCAATTCCTTCAGCAGGCGATCCAGTGAGTTGCTCTCCCACCCGTTGCTGATCGGCATGCGACGGTAACAACGCTGACCTCAGGAACAGGTCCCGCGCGCGACTCCCCTTCGTACCCCGAGGACTCTCCTGAGAGTATCATACTAAGAGAAGTGGTTCGTATTGATTCAGAATCGTCATTTGAGCTTGTCCAACTAACCACATCTGTCGTTCATAGACCGCGTTCTGCGAATCGGGTCCCAACAGCGCCGTATGTCCCACACCTGCGGACCCCCCCTCCCCCTTCCATAATCGCCTCATTCCCCGCCTGCTTAATAGCGACCATACTTACAATGGCATATCCAGAATGGAGACGAGTTCGTTCATCTTCCCGCCATCGTTGAAAGCGCCGAATCCAGCCCCAACGCCGCCCGGGAAGCCGCCCTTCGCATCTCCAAGCTGTTGTCCAATCCCGCCAAAACTCGGAGCAATGTTCAGTACAATGCGATCATGCTCATGCGCATCCTCATCGACAACCCAGGGCATACTTTTTCGCGGAACATCGACGTCAAATTCGTGGCGACTGTGAAGGACCTCTTCCGTAACGGGCGGGATATGAACGTACACACCTTCTTGCGGGACACTTTGGATACTTTGGAAATGCAACGGTCATGGGACGAGGATCTCGCACTGCTCCTGGGGATGTGGAGTAAGGAGAAGGACAAGTATGCTTCCAAGAATTCGGGTAATGTACGTGGACCAGTCATCCATCTTCTCGTTTATAGCATCGCCAAGCTAATTCTCTAAAACCGCTACAGCCCGGCTTGACACAACCCCTGGTACAGCCATACCGACAAACCCCGAATTACTACAACGCCCCCAGTCAGGACCAGCATGGCGGGCTCCCGCAGCCCGAAGAACTCTCCGCACGCATCTCCGAGGCCAAGACATCCGCGAAGCTCCTCATTCAATTCGTCCAATCCACGCCGCCGGCCGAGATGCTCGAGAACGAACTCATCAAAGAATTCTCCGACCGGTGTCGCACCGCCTCCCGCATCATTCAGAACTATATCCACTCCACGAATCCCGCTCCAGACGAGGATACCCTCGTCACCTTGATCGAAACCAACGACGAACTGTCCGTCGCCCTGTCCAAGCACCAGCATGCCTTGCTCCAGGCGCGTCGCGCCCAGGGACAATCCGGCAGCCAGTCGCCTGCATCGTCCAGTCAGGCCTCGTCATCTGGCGCCGTGCAACCACCAGTCCCGGCAGCAGGAGCTTCTGCGCCGCCGGTTCCGCCTCGGAACCAAACGCAGAGCCCGCTATCATCAGGCTCTTCCTCGACCGCTCCGGTCCTTCCGCGCACGTATAGCAACGGCGCAGGCCGGTTCGAGTACCGCTCGGAGGATTACCAGGTGCAGAACCCATTTGCTGATACTAGCGCTACTACTGCTGCGGGTACTGCACCTCTGGCTCCTGCGGGACATGGTGATGAGCATCAGGCTCGCGCGGAGGGGTCGTCTGCCGACTGGTGGGCGGAGGGACAGCAGCAGCGACCGGTACAGCAGCATTATTGATTATACTGCATTGATTGATTGATTGTATTGACTGTAGGATGGTGCTTTCTGATGATGATTATTGTTTGACTTTTGATGTATCGATACCTTTTGTGATACCTCTACCGCGCAGTGGATTTAATGCTAGATGTACTTGCATGATACTGATGGTGTGTGTGTGTGTGTGTGTGTGTGTGTGTGTGTGTGTGTGTGTGTGTGTGTGTGTGTGTAGACATAATCTTGTTGCTGTAAGAGCACAGGTAGGTATGTATGTCAACGGGCATTATACTAGTGGACTATCGTAGTGAGATGAAGCTTAGTGGGGTAACGCTTCCTACTACTTGGTACTATAGTGTTGGAACTGTTGTCTCGCAGCGAGTTCAGTATACCATACAATTCACCAATCCCAAACCAACAAAAAGACAAACGAGCCATATACTAATCCTACTCATATAGAACCACCCTTTTAGAGGGTTAGTTTACGCTCACCAGCAACAAACAGGAGAGTTGAGGTCCATCAAGCTTGGCGACTCCAATTTTGGTTGATTTTCTACTATCCTACTACTCTAATTCACTCAGCTACAGTAAGGCAAGGAAAGTCCAGTATACAGGCACATCTATTCACACCACTTCTATCTAACAGCAACTAAGTACTATACACACCGCACCACCTTAGTTGGCGTACTTGAGGAGAGCCTTAAGCAGGCTAGCAACCCAGGTGAGCTGCTCCTCAGCGGTACCATCAGTGGGGATGGAGACGCCGGAGGAGGCGGCAGCAGCAGCGCTGGAGGCAGCAACGGGAGCGACGGTAGCGCTCTGCTTCACGCTAGTAGCGAGGGTAGTAGGGACGCTGGAGGAAGCGGGAGCGACGTTGTTGGCGGTGCTAGGGGTAGTGACAGCGGCGGCAGCAGCAGTGGTGGTAGGCTGGCTGGCAGCGACGGAGGAAGAAGAAGAAGAAGAGGAAGAAGAAGACGAAGAAGAGCCAGAACCGCCGACAGTGAAGTCAATGCAAGACTCGTAAGTCTGGTCAATGGAAGCAGCGTTCCACCACCACTGGAGGACACAGGCACCGCCCTCGGTACACTTGTCACCGAGGTCATCGGGGATGGTGACGCTGAAGCTGGTCTCGTTCTTGGTGACACCGGTAGAGGTGGAGGCGTAGACGCTCCAGTAGATCAGGGGAGAGCCGATGACGGTGTTGGAGGCAGTGTCAACGACGGAGACGTTGGCGGTACCGGTGTGAGGAGCGCGGATGTCGACGGTGAAGTCGACGGTCTCACCGGCCGTGTACGAGTAGACGTTGTCCTTGTTGTCGGCGTACTTGTAACCCTTGCAGAGCCAGATGTCACAGGCATCGGCGTTGTAGTCGCTTTGGCCGGAGGCGATCTGAAGTTCACCCTGGACGTTGCCGTAGTTGTCGGCCTCCTGGTTGTTGTACACCTGCTGGCCACAGGCCTTCTCCATGGCGCTACCGGGCATACGAGCCTGGGGGGAGGTGACGAAACCGTGACCCTGGGCCAGGGAGACGAGCCCGGCGAGGGCGAGGATGGAACCAGCCTGCTTCATTTTGGTGGATTGGAAAGGTTTTTTTCTAGGAGAATAGAAAGATAGTGAAAGAGTCTGGTATACCGGTATACCAGATGGTTATTCTTCAAGGAATGGAAGTTGATGAGTTTTGGTTGGAAAGAATGTGACGGTCACAGACCGGGGAAAGAGAATGTGGGAAAGAGAAAGGATGAATTGAAACTTAGACAAGCCTGTGTGCTGAAGGAAAGAAAACAAGAGCAGAATGAGGGCGACGAGAGGCCGTTCTATATAGGCGTTGAAGCCAGCCGGCGGGTTCTGGGCCTGAACAAAGCTCTCCATCATGATCGATCGTGAAACGGTTCTAGCATCACCGAGAGGGCCCTCCAAAAACCCTGAAGATAATAATGACAGGGGAGTCACTCCACCAGGGACTGGAGACTGACTGGACTGGCTCAAGCGCTGGCAGCAGCGCAGAGGTTTCATCTTGAGGGGCGTTGAAACGGCGGGTGGAGTTGAATTCAGGGCCGGCGGATTGACCGGGATGCTTGGCATTGCCCGGGTTTCAGCTTCATTAACGCCGCGCCTGTTGACTGCCAACCATCGCTCTCCCTTTTCTCGGTGACCCTCCGGCTTTGGTTTTTTTTTTTTTCTCTGTTCGGTATCTACTATCTAGACTGTCTGCTGGCTTTCCTCTTCCTTCCTTCATTTCCGAAATGGCCCCGTCATAACTGGATCTACTCCCCAATTAGACTCGGGCCAAGGTTCGGGATCCATCCGGAACGGCGCCAATCAAGCCATGGCACCAGTCGGGACTCAATTTACTCCCGACAAGCATCAGCCCTGGCGTTATAGCAGTGGCAGCATTGAGGATGGTGTTCTGCTTGACTCGGACGTTGTCCACCCGCATGTCTTGCCTGGTTCATTCATCTCATACCTTTCAGTCCTCAGGTCTTCCTCCACTATTCCTAGCAGGGAAAGGAGCTGTGCATATCTCCTACTGGAGCTGCTCCAACCAGGATGAGGATTTTTCCAAACAGTCCCCCCGCCTTCCCCTTGCTGACAAGCAAAATTATTGACAAGTCTTGGATGTCTCTCTTCATCTTGCAAAGTGCCAAGTGTGAAAGGTTTCTCGTCTGCCTCTTCATCTAGCGTACTGCTCGTCATTCAACAGTGCTATCTTTTGGTCCTGCTAAATGACATTCATGAGTTAGTAGATATGATTTCCTCTACTGTGGCCAGTCCCTAGAGGAAACAGCAAAGACTACGATGACCCACAGATGTCTTGAGGGACATTTGATCAATCCAATCCGCCAGTGCCCCAATTGGGACCGGACGATATTGAGAACTGCAAATCCCAAACACTGTCCTTCATGTCGACCTCACACTACACCGGACGATTATAACGACCCGTTGGTACTCTTCTACCATCAGGAGCGATTGTCTTCTGCCAGTTATAACACTCCACTCGGAAGAGAGGGATCGGAAAGATTCCTGGCTTGATATCCTTACAAGTCCAGAGGAATGCAGATACGTATCCAGCTGCTGCCACAAAGCCAATCGTTGGGAATATAGGACACATCAGATTGTGCTAACACTCGGAGATAATCACAGCTACATTAACCTCCAGTCAAGCAAATAGCCCCAACTCCTTCCCAGCTGCACCGCGGAGTCAATGTAGCCCTACCCTCCAATGAAAAAAAAAGCCCCCTACGAAAAGTCAACGAACGTTCACCAAACACCACACACACACACAAACATTACTGCGAAGAATAGCAGGGCAAGGACTGCTGTCTCTCACCCATTGATACCTTTTGGTCCCTCAAGAGTTCATCCGCTTCTCCCACGCCACTCTCATCTGTAGAATTCCGACGATGCAACAAATAATATATGGAAATATCAGCAGCACAACTATCCTACAATACCTTTACATCATCATCACCATAATCTCTCACACAATAGGAAAGAATACTATATTGTTACCGGCCAAACCATCTCAAAATAGATCAACAGACTAACCTAACAAATACTCGCAAGAGATTATCGAATCGAATCAATAAATACACTACCCCAAACAACCAAAAGAAACCTAAACCAGAACATCATCCATCACAAAGCAGTAAACAAACTAAATACTAAACCAACCGACTAGCCCACCCAAGTCCCCTTACTCCCAGACCAAGACAGGGCAAATTCCATCTTCTCACCAAACACACCAATTATCAATTGAACCAAGAACAAAAAACAACCATTTCATCAATAAATCAATACATTTCATTCACCTATTACATCTATATCCCTTCTATCCTATTCAACAATACCCCACTTTCTACACATTCACATCCACTCTCTGCCCAAACTAGTCTACCTATAACTGACTAGAAAATGGCTATTGTGCATACAATAAGATAGTGAATACTATGAAACAAGACAATGCACAATACAGATCATTTGAAAGAGGGGAGAAAAAAATGGATTAGAAAGGAGTAAGAACTGTCACCTGAATTGAATCAACACTGTTTGTTTGTTTCTTTGTCTATCTTGTCATGTACGATCAGTAGTTTGGTCGTGTGGGTTGTTGTTGTTGTTGTCGTGGCTTTTAGGTGCGGGTAGGTTGTGAGTGTTACTACTAGAGAATGATATCATGAGGTTGAGGTGAAGGGGGAAGAAGATAGAGCGTATTAAGTGGATGGATCAAGTTAACTATTGCTATTTGGTAACTAAGAGATAAGGGGCGCTGATAATAATAGGGGGGGAACAATGATGATGGCGGGACGTGTACGTATGTAGAGTATCAATGTCAATGGAATGAAGATCATGAGCTGAATAGAACTTCATCTATGGTATTTTAGTATCTAGTAGAAACAATCTGGTCATTGACTTTTTATTCCAACTACTATATAGCCACATGCGGAACACCTCTACTGCTAACCCCCCTCTACCACTTCGACTATTACCAAGGCCTGTATACAACAAATGGATGGAACGAATGGGATAAGAATCGAAGAATAAAATGAATGGATAGGCAAAAATATAAAATGTAACAACAGAGTGGTATATCCGTATGTGTTCCCCAACAAACAATCAACCATCCCAAATGCATCGAAGTTCCCTTTCCTCCACGGGCATCGAAACAAACAACTGCTTTATCACTGTATGTATGTATTGTCTCTGATGTAAAAGCACAAATTAAATCGATGAGGACTGCTCGAACAAAGCGATCGTCGAGCAGTATGTGCTCTCGTTGCCCTCTTGCGGGACAAGGCCATCGCCGCTGGACGAAGTGATCATGTTGGTGCTGGCCTTGGTGCTCAGCCCGTAGATGTGCACGTCGGAGCAGTCCACCTCAACAATGTTCTCCTGGCAGGACTCCGTGGCCAGACATGTCTGCGAGTAGTTGTCGAAGAAGCTGTACAGACCCGCACCGTAGATGTAGGTCTCGGAGCTGTTGATGACACGGAGACCCCACGCCTTGCGGCAGGAGTCCGTGGTGCAGTACGAGAAGTCGGGGTCATTCCAGGAGGTCTGCGGGGTGAAGGGAGTCAGAGCGTTGGGGTTGGCCTGGTAGTAGGGAGTCTCGGTCTGGATCAGGCCCATGAAAACGTTCTTAGCATTGGAGACCTGGTAGTTGTACAGCTGGTTGTGCTCGGCAGCCGTGCCATACAGCCAGGCTGGTCCCTCACTCTCGAGGAGGACACCGCGACCGTTGTAGATGTTGATCTGCCCGTGGCCGGACGCATCAAGGTCGTGGTCAGCAGTCCAGAACCAGGTGTTCTCCAGGTAGACGCTGGCGTTCTGGGTGGCGTGGAAGAGGAGGAAGGCGCCAATGCACTTCTCGTTGGCCGTGGTGGTCTGGCTGGGGGTCTTCGCACAGGTATCGGACTGAAGTTCAGTGCCGGCAGAGCCACCAATGCGGGCATGGACATCCCACATACCAACAGAGCCCTGGGAAGCGGCCTGGAGGTTCCACTGCACCAGGATGGCACCAGGAGCAGGTCCCTTGGTCTCCAGAACGAGGTCGCTGATCTCAACCGAGCCAGATTCGCCGGCTTCACCGACCTGGAGCATAGGGATGGGGTTCTTCTGGTCGGAGAACTTGTCGCCATACGCCATGAGCATGGGCCACACCTCACCAGTGATCTTGATGTTCTTGGGGACCTTGATGGTATCAGTGATGATGTAGGCACCATGGTCGAAGTACACGATCTGGTCCTCGGTCGCGTTGTTCAGAACGCTCTGGATGATGGCCGTGTCATCGGTGGTACCGTCACCCTTGGCACCGGCCGACTTGACGCTGACGAAGGAAGAAGCGGCATAGGAGGCGTACAAAGGCTTGGACTTCTCGAATACACTACCAGAGCTAGTCAGAAGCGAGCTAGCCATGGCCTGGGAAGGAATAGTGGTCTCGATACGGGTCTTGGTGACAGTCTTGGTCGAGCACTGGCCGGTGGAGTTGCTGGAAGTACCAAAGTAGGAGCCGGAAGACGAGGTGCTGGAGGCAGTGGACGCAGAGCCAGAGCCCTGGGCAACAACAGAGGCACCGGCCGACTGGGAAGTGGGCACGGCAGGAGATGACCCGGCAGAAGTTCCGGCAGCAGGGACAGAAGCCTCGTTGGTGGCCGTGGTTGCCTGGGAGGTTTCGCTGTCAAATCCTTCCCAGCTGTAGCTACCGGCGGACGGGTACTGCACAGACATGGATGGCAAAGGCAGCACACCACCGGCCGCGGTAGTGGTCGAACCCTCTGCTCCGGCCTCAGAGGCCGTGCCGAACGAACCCGCAGCGGTTTCAGTGGCGTAGTCGGCACCGCAGGCTGTAATGGTCTCGGTAATGGTCTGGGTGACCACATGAACATCCTCGGCCTCAACGGCAGGGGAGCGCTTGCTGACGGTGCTGTTGGAGGTGCTGCCCGGCGTGTAGACATTGCCCTGCACGTAGTTCGAAACAACAGAGCCTCCCTTGAGAATGGTGTCGCCGTTCACACTAGCAATGGCCACCGTAGCGCCGGAGAAGTCAACATTTTCGAGGACCAATGCACCACCACCAGTAGGAATGCTGTCGCTGCTGAAGGCAGTCACCACACCAGTAGGAGTGCTAGTGAATGTGCTGTCTAGCATCAGGACAGATCCGACGGTCTGGTTGGACGGCGATGCGGACATGTTCAAGCCGACCTGGCAGTTGTTGATCGACACCGACTTGAAAGTCCAGGCCCAGTTCCAGTTCATGTAGATGGCCGTGTTGCAGTCGTTGAAGGTCAGGTTACGGGTGGTGAACTGCTGGTTACCGAAGAAGGCACCGTAGTTACCGCCGTTGAAGGTGAGGTCGGACATAAAACCACCCGATCCGTTGTCCATGAAAATACCCTGCTGCTTGTTGTTGCTGCCACCCTTGACCATCTCGAAGCGAATGTTCTGCAGACTGGTGGCCTGGCCGACCTGCCAGTGAATACCCGCGCCCGAGGATGCAGGCATGGCCGTCAGATCGATGACAAAGTTGCGAACAGCACGGAAGAAGTTGTTCTGGTTGGTGTACCAGTTGGAGCCATTGCTGTCGTAGGGATCGGCATCAATGACGGCCATGCCGCTGAAGCTCGAAGCAGCCTTGAGGACAGGTAGGTCGTTGGCATCACCGACCAGCTGGGTGTAGTAGTACTGCACAATGGGCTTGGACACCACGTAAGTACCCGCTGGGAAGTACACCAGGGCGGGGGTGGTGGTAGACGAGTCGCAACCGGAACCGCAGCGGCCACCAGAGGAGATGGCCTTGTTGATAGCATCAGTATCATCGGTAGAACCGTCACCTGTCTGGGTCAGCAGCAAATACCAGTCATGTAAGGAGGTCTGACTCACCCTTGGCACCGTAGTCCTTTACGTTGCGGTAGATGGCATAGCTGCTGGTGGTGTTGCCAAAGGGCACAGAGCCCTGACGCTTGATTGTTCCCACCCAGTAGTCCGACGCGCGCACCGCCAGATGGGATGTCACATCGACAGAGCCGGACGTAGGGACAGCATTGACCAAGGCCACTGGCACACTCAGCAGCAGGAAGACGTACGACACAAACAACATGATGGAAGTGTGGAGAGACGCCATCGTCAAGACAGCGAGGTTCACTGAGCCGGCAGAGAACTGAAGAGCGAGAAGGGACAGTAATATAGTAAGGAGGAACGCTGACGAGCGACCAACACTTCAGTAACCAGTACTGAAGAAATATCCAGACACGATCGTGTGAGCCCCAACAGAAGTGGTTTGTCACACGACGGGGTCAGACGGTGAGCTGGATAAAAGTGGTTGTAGTTGGAGGAGTAAATAAGGGAAGAGCAAGGAATGTATGGAGGGGCGCGAATCAGCCGCCAGGGGAGACAAGTAGTAGAAAAGGAATGAATGTAAGAAAAACACACAAAAACACACAACACACAGCAAGACAGTAACACTCGGAAACTGCCTTTTCCCACGGCAAAGACACAACTGACGGGGAAAGAAAGGAATGGAGGAGGGGAGAATAAAAAGAAATCACACAGCTGGGATGAAGGAAGCGGCCGATGTAAATGAAGGTTATTACACTTGGGTTAAAGTGGAGGGGGGAAGATTTGCTGGCACCGGCGGGAGGGACCAAAGGATCCAGGCACAAACTTGCCCCGTTCCTGACCCAACGATTGGTGCTGGCTGGACTGCGATGCCTTGGCCGTCGCTGGAAATTACTTCTTGACTATCGCCAGATGGTGGAGGTCCGTCTGCAAGAAAAGCTGCTCAAGATCCAATCACGCGCCCCGATCGCTCCACTCACACCAATTAGCTGCGATGGTCGTCGTCTGCCGACCGCTGCTTGAAACGCCTGGGTCAGGGGATGAAACGAATCGATAAAGCACTAGACGGGGGTTAGTCGGTACTCATTGGTGGCCATCGTTCTCGCGGTCGCTTGATATAATAGTGCAGGTAGTAGCAGCAGCATTGCACTCTGCCGAACCGGCTGGAGTCATGCATGGTGGGCCACGAAGAGCTTGTGTGTGTGGTGGTGCTGGTGAATGGTGGTGGGGAAAACAGTGCGGGAAAGAGTGTCTGCCATGGACTAATTACCTACCGAAGTTCGGGTGTAGTTGTATACACACGCACACACTACTATTAGTCCTACTCTCCAATGCTGGTGGGCCAGATAGTCTAGGCTGCCGGATATTCAAAGAACGACCGAAGAGAGCGAATTGCAAAGAGTCCCACGACTCTCTACTAACCGTGACTAGTGACTGAACGAGGGATAGCCTACCTCCCAAGGATGCGTAGACGACAAACAAAACGAACGAAATCTGATCCGATCCGAAAAGCACAGGCCCAGGGAGTCGGAAAAGGAGAGGGGGAGGTGGCAGGAGGAGAGAGAAAAAGAGCCAAAGGAAAAGATCAAAATCCCCAGTCGATCAGCGGATCCGGTAGGCTAATATACCTCCCAGGGTTTTGATCAACATATTCGCCGTGGCCCAGATCGTAGACAACTGGGCATTTCTATCTCTCGGCCATGGCTGCAGAGCCGATCGTCCGGCATGGCTTGTTGCTGGAATTTGGCCGTTTGACAGCGCCAGGGCAGCTAGCTGGTCGCTACGCACTAGACTCAGGCATTGGTATGGATGGCGACCCTGTGGACGGGACACATCCTCTGCCATGCTGGGTTTGACCCGCCATACGGTATGTCTCGATGGGGAGGAGTTTCGGGCTCCGCGCACCAGCTTTCCAGTGTGATTTCCAGTACTGGAGGCTGCCTGATTGAGCAGGTCTAGACATTCCTCGTGGCCCATTGTTCCCCCGACGCCAGTCTGGGCAGTAATGCCGGGGCTCCTGGGCGGCCGTGGCATCCTCATCTCGATAAGCTTCACTTGCTGCGTCAGATTTATCGATTCCACGGCAGAAAAGCTAGTTAATCCATTGATTAGCCGGCTATACGTATATACTCTCGGCGGAATATACTTTTCCGCATGCTGTTCAGCCGTAGAATGAGTCGTCAGTCAGTCCCCTTGGATTCAAGGTTGGTAGATGCCTTGACTCAGGCGGGAAGGAAAAGGTTGGTCCTGCATGGACGGGTGGGCCCGGCGAGTGAAGAGAGGCGAGTGGGCTGAGGGAGGATCATCCAGGGGCAAACCAGAAATTAACCACTAGTTAACTTTGTACCTTCCCACCAAAAGAATGGGTTACGGGTGCTCTACAACATGAATCTTCTCCTACTCGTAGAATCGATTTCCGTAGTAGACTACATGCTACTAGTAGATAGCCAAGTCCACGGTCCGATATGTCTCAGTCTTCCCGTCTCTTTCTTCCCGATCGAGATAAAAATATCCTACACTGTGGGTAAGGAATCAGTGCACCAAGCTTTCCGCAGAGGAGACAGTCTTCTTCCTTAATTAACCCATCCCGACTGATCGGCCGCTAACCTTGGGTCGTGGTCTGCCCGTGAAACAACCTAGCCATCACTAGCCTCGGCATCAGCAGCAATCACCTGCATGGTCCAGAAGTTGTACAGCGTTACGGACTTGAACAGAGTCTGATTAGATGGTCGGCCCGGAAGCCGGATTGTTGGTTGAACTCCGCCATGTTTGGATGATTTAGCTAGACAACAATCTCAGGTTTGGAACGCGAGAAGAATGTGTGCGGTGCCCGCCTGGTTCCGCTGGGCATCCCTTGGCAGAAGGAGTTATTTGACGCGTCCATTCCGGGCAAAAAAAAAAAAAAAAGGAGGGCCAAGGTTCCTCAAGCATGGTGCTGCGGGATTAGGCGCTGAATAATGTCGGGAAAGCGTGATGTTTGGCCTGCAGCCTATGATTCCAAAAGTGCCCCTGACTGCGCTACTGCGGTCTATATATGCAAGTTGACTGCAGGTGCCGTGCAGATGCTCGCCCCGAGTCATCTGCCTTCCCCGGCCTCGCGCCTTGACTGGCCGCCCACCGCCTCCGCCCGCATCACTCGACCCCAGGCCATTCTTTCTTACGATGCACCCAGGAGAATTAACTCGGAGCGTGACAGGAGTTCTACCTTTTGGCGCTGGATGATTATCCTGTGATGGGGGTGCTTCGTCCATATCAACAAGACTACAGTTCCTCCACACCCAAGGTCTCACGCGGTCCGATCCGCCCGTCCACCCTTGGTAGCCATCATCGCAGCGTCCGCCACCATTTTGGTTTACTTGAGGGCTTCACGAATGACCGATGCAAGTCGACGCACCCCCTCTTCGAGTTTATCCTCCTGCTCCCACGCGAAACAGAGGCGCATGCCGTCATCGAAATCATTCTTGTCCCCTGCCGCATCTCCATCTATCCGAAAGACATTACCAGACGCTACAATCAACTTCTGGTCGCGCAGTGCGACGGGTACAAGCTCGCTCGACCGTAATGGGTGTGGGAGTCGAAGCCAGATGAAGTAGCCCCCTGCGACATCAGGAACTGGAGGCAGTCCCACGCCGAGGGGAACAAGATGCTCACGTATGGCAGACATCATCCGGTGATAGCGGCGGGCGTACGCCGGTTGCAGAACATCGCCTACGAAATCCTGTAAAATCCCCGTGGGGAACAGCTGCGCAATGATAGCGGCGCACATATGCGACGGCGCACCTCCGGACCGGCTTGAGCCTCTGTGTCCCGGACAAGGTTAGCCTACCAGGTAGGGGAGGATAAAGCAAGGGACAAGCGAGAGCAGCCAGCAAGACCACCTCACGGGATCACGTACGCTTGCGACAGACCATATGCTACTTTCTCGGTAGCCTCCGCCCAACCAGTCCGCATACCGGGCCCAATCAGCTTGCTGAAACTTCCATTGCTCACCACATTACCCCAGTCATCCTGGGGTCCCCCGTCCAGATACCGGTCCACATCCACCAGACGGGGTAGATGTGCCCTGTTGGGCTGCGGTAATGTCTTGGCGGGGTCTGGTGACCACTGAAGGAAGTCATAAACATCATCGGCGATGATCAAGGCATCGAATTCGCGCGCAAGGCGAACCAGATTCTCCCGATCAGGCAAGGACATGGTGAGCGTTGACGGGTTGGAAAAGGCGGGGGTAGTGTAGATGACATGCTTGTAAACCTTACCCCATGGCCTAGTAGGTTTGTAGTTCTGTACGGGTCAGTCATATGAACCATGTCAGTCCCCTAAGCATCTTCGGAGTAGAATGTAAACGTCCATCTGCAGACCAAAGCAAATCAACGTACCGGTGCGTTATTATCTTCCCTCCTTGCCCGCTCCTCGGCAATAAGCAGCTCCTGTCGGAGATAGGTCAAATCCAACCCCGCATCACCCTGGGGAACGGCCCTCAGGCGACCAGTAAAGCCGGAATCGTCAAATATGCGAAAAGATAGATGGTAGGCGGGTGCGACCATCCAAACATTGCGCGTGTAGACGGGATCAGTAAAGACCTGCAGAATACAGGCTACATTCTGACTGGCGCCACCCGTGATGCAAATTCGCTCGGGAGTGATGCGGTCGCGTGGCTGGTAGAACGTCGTTAGCCAGCGAGCGATGTGTTCGCGCAACGGCTGGTACCCTTCATCCGGGCCGTACATCAAGGCCGGGGTCCAAATGGCCGGGGTGGCCAGCACTTTGGCTGAGGCCTCAGCCAAGGCCGTCGTGGGCAGCAAGGCGGGGTTGGGCCAGCCACGGAAAAGATCGACCTCCTCAACGTCCATGTTGTTGGTTGGTTGGTTGGTTGGTTGCGTGACAGGTCAGAGTACTGCAGAATAGTAGTAGTACGTAGTAGTGGATAGTATGTCTTTCAATGGTAATTAGATCGGTGACATGAATTGATTTAGGCGATGAGTAATGGTACTCGTCAGAGGCTCCAATATGCGGGTCCTGGCACGTATAACAGTTGAAGTTATATATATTGTTTCGGGCAGTGGTGTGGTTTGTCTTCCAAGCCACTCAAGGCATCCGTCGCTATATAAATTTATGATAACGATAGAGTGAGTCTGAATGATGAACGACCCTACTTTCCCAGAACAGTCCTTGGCAGTCCCTAAAGAAGTTAGTGGACTTATTAGGGTGGTAGAATTATCTCTATGCGGTCACGTAATTAGTGAATGAATCTGACTCTCTTAGTCAAGAGAATAATACCGCGTAGGTAAGTGGATCGTGTTGACTTCGGTTTCTGGAAGCAGTCTAAAGGGGGGGGAACAACGAAAGTTCCGTAGCCGACAGAACCAGGTCACGGGGTATGCATTGTTCGGGGGGCGCGGGGCAGATCCTGTCTTCGCACCGGCATCGGGCGGTATCTTCAGGGCGGTCGGTCAGTCCCCGTCAGGAGGAAAGACGAAGATGGAAAAGGAACGGGCTAGATTTGGAGAACAGATGGAGTAGTAGTTACAGAGGAGTAAATTATCCATAGTTTTTACGAAATATAACATTATTGGTTATGACTTTCAATTGATAATTATCCATTATGCAACATTTAAATATTAGGAATGGTTGGTTGGAGTTGAGGAGCCTTGACCACAGTGGTAATACTTAGTAAGTAATAGTAGCCTGAAAGGGGTTGGCTGCTCGGGTGTTGTGCAGAAGATGCAAGAGGGGGCCACTACCACCGCAATACTTACATACTGTAAGTGTGCTGCCTGAGGTCCCAAGGCCCAGATCAATTAGGATGACACGTCCATTCCCCAAAGTAAAACACCCATGGCTCACCCGGATCAATCGAAACGGACTACGGGGTCATGGACCCGATCGGACAACGTCAACCCCGGGCATCACCCTCAGAACGCAGTTACTTACGTATGTCCGAGTGCGTGGCTCCCATTTCCATGTCGGGTAATGCAGGCACAGCGCTAGACCTGAAGTATCTTTTTTTTCCCCGTACAGTTGCGCCGCTGGTTAGCGTCTTTACTAAAGCAGTAAGGTAGGCAAGGAAAAGAAACGCAGAGAAAGGGAAAGGAAAATAACGACGAGAAGATTGAGTACGGAGTAGAAAACAAGTTTGAGCAAAAAGAAAAAAAAAAGTTACCACGAAGGACCGATGGTAGTGGCTACTATTCTTAGCTTCTCCCTCTTTTGAGTCTAGTACCTTAGATCTCCCCAATAAGTTGCCTCTCTGGCAGGTCGACTAGTAAATATTTTCTCTTGTTTATCCTTCGCCAGTCCAATGAAAGAGGACAGAGCAAGCATGGCGTATTGATCTATCCATCGATTGGTACTAATAAACGATGGCGAGCTGTCGGTCTTGTCTGCGGTGGAAAAAGGTCGGCAGGTTTCTCGCTTGGCTGGATTCCAGTGCGACGTGCCAGCGGCAACTCAAGTATGTTGTGTGCTTGTGGTAAGCATGGCGGAGTCCGATAGCCCCTGGATCGGAGATGCCAATCCACCTGTCATGGCTCCGGTGCTTCTCCTTCTGTCGCAGAGTTCCAGTTGTAGACTAAGGTCGTAATCGCGCAGATTTTGACTGGGCCAGAAAGGGGAGGGTGCACCTTTTTCAAACTACTAACTTCCAAGGGGGACCGTGTAGACGGACCCAGGCAGACTATATATTAATTGGGAGGTAGACAAGTCAGTCGGAAACATGACCGACCAAGGAAACGGATCGAATCCCATCCATGGTTGGCTGAACCGGAGAAGGGAGAGGGGTGGAAATGAATGGCTGACTCTGAAAGGAGAATCAGACTATGAATGAAGAGACCCAACTTATGATGAATGGAAAGCGCTTGAATCGGAGGGAGTGGACATCTGCCGAGACTCCGTCATCCGATCATCAGTCCGTATTGCAATTCCTGAGGCTGCAGGCACAACGCCTTGCGAGAGCAAGAACGGGAATCGCAGAGATGAGAAGCTAAGGAGAGATGTCTCAAAAAACAAAAAAAAAAAAGTAAGTTCTCAGGACAACAAGGGGAAAAGTACTACAAAAGGTCCAAAAAAAAAAAAAAGAGGAAACAGAGTATACAGAACCATTGAATGAACCCCCATGCAGTGAATGAATGTTTCTGCCTTGAGGTATACTTACTTACATACACCCGTGGACACAGTAAGCAATGGTGCTCTGATGCTTAAGCTGCTACCAAC